GCACTTGTTATAGAAGATCAAAGAACACAAATTTCTGTATGGCTTATATCTCAATGTCAAGAAAACAAAGATTTTTACCACTAGACCGAAAGGCAACATTGTGATAGATGGAGAAAAGATCGAAACTGTCAACAACTTCATCTTACTTTGATCCACAATTAACACCCTTGGTAACAGTAGTCAGGAAATCAGGAGACATACTGCACTGGGGATGTCTGCAGTTAGGGACCTCTCCAAATTACTGTGGAGTAAAGATGCCAGTTTAAGGACCAAGATGTGTCTGATTCAGGGCATGGTCTTTCTGATCACTTGCTGCGCATCTAAGATCTGGACAGTGAGTAAGTATGACAAAAGAACTGATGCCTTTGTTTGTGCTGGAGAAGAGCACTGAACAGTCCATGGACTGCCAAAACAAACAAATATGTCTAAGAAAGGGTACAGCCAGGGTGCTGTTTGAAGGCAAAGATGATGAGACTTTGCCTCACATACTCTGGGCATGTTGCAAGGAGGGGCTATACCTTGGATACAGGATGCTTGGAAAAGGAGATGATTGGCAAAGGAGAGAAAGACCCTCGACCAGGTGGATTAACATGGTGACCGCCACAATAGGCTCTAATGTACCAGGAACTCTGAGTATTGCACAGGATTGGACAGGGGTCAGATCTGTTGTTCGAAAGAGTCATATTTGTCTCGATGGCAACTAACAACAACATTACTAAGAAAGGTCATGTCTCAAACTTGTGTGGGTGCTCCTTTAGAGGGCTGAAGAACTACTTACCAAGGAAAGATCCTGTTACTGCTAATGACAATGAAGGAAGATTAAAAAATGAACACTAAGGAGAGAAGGGGGGGGGAGGGGGAAAGCACTAAGGAGGCTCTAGTGGCAAGAAGCTGTGCTGCAATCTCAAAACCATGCAGTTCGAGGCCCCTAGCTGCTCTATGGGAGAAGGATGGATGATCTCCTCCTGGGCCTCTAAAAACCTGCTGGAGGCTGAGCTATGGGTTGGCTCTGACTCGATGGTACACAATAACAACAGCAATGATGAGGAGAAAAAGAAGCCCTAGGGAGCTCTAATAGCTTACTGGTATGAGACTGCACTGCCAATCCAGAGGAAGGGGGTTTGAATTAGTCAGCTGCTCTGTGGGAGAAAGATGGGCAATCTCCTCCGATGCAATCATTGCCTCTGAAAACCCACCAGAGGGCCTGCTATGAGTGGGTTCCGACTTGATGGTTCTCAACAACAAGGAGAAAACCACAATGGAGGCAAACTCCAAATCCTGCCCTGCTAGGACAAGTACACTAAAACTTTTTACTCTGATGCACTGGTGATAAAAACTTTCTGTCCTGGAGGACACAGAATCCACTGGAATTGATCTCTGCTTCCAGACTGTGGACAGGATTTTTTTGTTTAAAGTTTCATCCTGCCTTTTAGACTCTGGTACATCTGGAGTGGTGATTCCTGTGAGTTTTGCATCTTGTTGCATTGCTTTAAACAAACAAGTGACAAATGAGGAATAGACTCACCTAGTAATTCTGTAATTAGTCCCTGGGTAACTGTGTTTGCTACACTTTGTCTTTACTGCAGTTATCTGGAGGTGGTAATTTTACAAACCAGGTAGGCATGCAGTGCATTTATATATCTGCCAATTGGCAGTGGCTTCGATTTTTAAAAAAATAGGCTGTAAAATACATTTATACGTATTTATTTCTGCTCAAATGGCACAATTTCTTCTTTCTCTTGCTTTTGGAATTTTAGAATTTACAATGGCTAGGCATTCTTGCCTTCTGACCCCTAGATTACTATAATACAGCATTTTCTATTTGTAGGACAGGCCTGGCTTAGAAATTAGGCATCTTTTTTCCCCTCCTCCCCTAAAGTCTCATTCATCTGTCACCAAGGAAACCAACTTATGTCTGACCTTATAAGTACACTTGTGGGTTGGTAAAGGCAATTTTTCCCACTGTCCATTTCTCCTTTCCTAGTTCTGTTGCTAAGGGAGAACTATTGAAATTCAGCTGTCACTCAGAATAAGAAAAAGAATAATTTCGCATTTGAATTGGGGAAAAGGCCTGGTGACCTGCTTGCAAAGGCACAGCTTGGAAATTCCTATGGCCTGTGGCTCCATTCTGCACAGATGGGGTTGCTGTGAATCAGAATCAACTGGACAACAAATGCTTTCCTTTTTGGTCAGTCATTTGAATAGGGCTGGATACCAGACTGGTAAGAAAGCTTGGCACCTCTCTTCTTCGGGTGAAAGTTTTGTTTCAATTGTTAAATGAATAAGCAATACGCTGTTCTTTCAATTGCAAAGCTAATCTCAAGAGTCGCAAGAACACCTCCAACACAAGTTATCTTTGACATAAATCAATTAAGGGCTGGTATCTTTTCATTTTGAACAACTAACAAATTCCAATTAGCCTGCACTAGCTTCTGACAGTCTACTGTTTGTTTTTCCTTGTGTTCACTTAAGTTACGTCCTGTCCGTTTTCCTTAGAAGATGGCAGAATTCTGGATGGACTGGTGACTGTGTCTCCTAATATATTGTGTGTGTGATGATTTAAGACCTGACCACATTTTGCTACCATATTTGGTAAAAGTAAGTGCTTGAATTTTATTCATTTGATAGCAAGGTTGGAGGCAGAAAAACAAATACACAAAAAAACATTTCACACTAGCAGAAGAGTGGCTCTGGGTATCTGTGTCTGGTCTTGCTGGACATCAATTTCTTTTTCTCCTGAGAAATGGCAAAAAAAACCCCGTTCTGTTCCTGCCTGCTTCCTGGAAGCCATGAGGCTCACTGTGACAGGTCTTGAAAGCCCTGACCTAGTATTAGGGATGCTCAGTCCCTAGCTAGAACATATCAGTCTTGTGTCTTCTCCCCTAAGAATTTCCATGTTGGTCTTACACATGGCTGCTGCAGAGCCAATGGTATTAATAGGGTTATATTAAACACGATCTTCCTCTACCTCCATTCTGTATTATTACTCAGAGTTTGTAAAGGGAGAAAGCAAACAGCTTCCTTAGTAAAGGTCAGAGACATCTTCCTTGATCAAGGTTGCAGATTACAGTGTCATCCCCTTTGTCTTCACAAGTCTGGTTATTTAATACAACCCCACAAAAGGAGAGGTTGTGAGGCAGAATGTAGCAGTGACAGGGTAAGTCACTCGCCTCCAATGTTGTCTATTCTGAGTGTTAAGGGCCTGCCTGTCACTTGGTAGAAAAAAAAAACAAGAGCAGGGCACTTGACAGATGCAGGGACCTCATCAGCATCCCCATAGCTCAGAGCATCTCAAGGAGCAAAAGATTTTTGCAAGAACAGAACTCCATGCAGTCCTACATAGGAACCAATATGCCCTGAGCACAGACAGGGAGAGCCCGGCTCATTGCTAACACAATCTGACCTGGAAGATGGCAGTAAAAATCAGCTATCAGAGCATGGAGTGGACACCCCACCCACACAGAGAGCCTTTGTCCTTTTCTTTTTGAGATCAGCAAAGTACAGCTCTGTGGTTAATCGAAGATCACTTTCTTTGTCACCTCAGGTGGGAGTGGCTCAGAGGAAAACCCCTTCTTTGTGTGAAAATGTAATTTTCAGTCAGCCCTTTTACAGGGTGCTCTCTCCAGATCTCCTTCAACTGCGGTCCAAATCGCAATCTTTCTCATGGGTTCATGGCTCAAGAGCCACTTGAAAAATCAACTGTGACCTATGGAAGATTAGCTAGGTCCATGCATGGGTTGTGAGGATCTCTAAGAGAGGCACCAAAAAGTGTCATCTTCTGTCAGCAGGTAACACGTATTTTTGCCAGAAGAACCTGGCAAAGATTGAGATAAATTAAGAGCTGGTGTGGCTTCATTTTGAACAACTAAAAAATTCACAATTAACAGAACAACTAGCAACTAAGAATGAAGATGACTTCACCCTGCATCAAGCAGGATGCAGAAAGTGACAGTGCTCAGTGGACTGACAGCCGCAGTTCTGTCCCTAGCGTGCTGTGCGGGACCACAAATACACAGAAAGTCGCTTTCACCTCTCCTGGTCGCGCCAGTTCCCCACTCCCCCACCAGGGTGTCTGGGAATCTTCTACTTTGACAACATCCAACTTCGGAGCCCATAAGGAATTCGCCGCGCACAATTCCCGTTAGATGGCGCTCTGTCCCCTAATCCGCCCGCAAAACACCAATCCATAAAACACAATCCAACACCTTCTGAAACCACATCACATAATAGCAGTTCGCAGGCGAAGCGCTCATTTAAAAAAAATCTCAATTTAGGGGAACTGTTTCTACCTCCGAGCAAATCTAATGCAATTACATTAACAGGCTACAATCAAGAATTACAACCCAGGGGCCCTCTCCTTAAACCTCCCTAAATACACCTGTCCCCTTACCCCTACCAGCTCCTTGGGATGAGCGACAGTGCGAGGCGGTCAGTCCAAGCCAACCTTGCTTGGGAACCCAGCCGATAGGGCTCAACTCCAATGCTGCACTACCCCGCACATCCGCTCCAGAGCGCTGGGACCTGCGCTTCACCCACCTCGCGGCATGGATGTCCTAGGGGACAGTCGCCAGTTCTGCGCGGCCTTGCACAGAACCGGAGGCAGGGGACAGGGGGCGCAGGCCGACTGGGGTTCACGGCGGGGCAGCCAGATGGCCAGTCCGCTCCGCAGGTCTGCGGGCCAGGAGGACAGGCTGCCCGAGGGAGGTGGCGGCGTCAGGCCAGATGCTGAGGCCGGGTCTCCCCAACAACGTGCGCCGGCGGCTATTGGGGAGAGTAGCACCGGGGGTGGGAAGAAGGCGCACAAACCAAACCACACAAAAGTTTTCTGCCAAGAGCTAAAGCAATCGGCAACCGCGGTGCAGCAAAGCTCCAGATCTGCACAAGCTTAGAGCAAGATGAGACCTGGGGCAGACGGTGACCGAAGCAGAGCCACTGCCCATCTAAGTGTCCCCGGCACCCGCTAGAGGGCTGTCAGCTGTCCGGTTCCCACCCGTGCTTACCTTGGCGGCTGCATGAGCCCGCGGGGGTGGCGCAGGCTGGAGTGCCGGCGAAGAGGGTTTCCCGGCGCGCTCGCGTGCTCCGGGGCAAGGTGGGAGGGGGTGGGCTAGCGCTTGCCCTGTCGCCGGGTGGGCTCAGCAGCGGCTGCGGGCTCGCCGCCTGCTCCGGGGCTGCATGCCTGCGAGCGCCTGGAGGACCCTTCCCGGCCCAGCGGCTCGGGCAGCGCAGCCTGCGCTCGGGAGTCAACTGCTGAGCGGGGCGGCCCCGGGCGGCCCCCTCCTTCGCTCGGCCCCGCCCGCGGCCGCCAAGCGGCGCGTGGGGAGGTGCGTTTGCGCGCAGAGTGGAGGGGGCGGGCCGGGAGTCCGGGGCGCGGGCGGGGGAGGGAGCGGGGAAATAGGGGTGGTGTTAGAATGTAAGCTTCGATTGTCTTACCCAGCCGCGCCCCACCCTCCAGCATCAGCCCCCGTGTAAGGGGGAAGGCTGAATACCTCAAGCAGGCTTTTTTTTTAATCTCATGGGTTGGGGGTGGGTGCAGGGTTGGGGGGGGTGCAGGTGGCAAGTGCGATGAAACCACACCTTCCACCTCTTGCCCCTCCAACTTTCTGAACCCTCCGCGGGAACGTCAGATTTCCACCCTCAGATCTTTTTTGCCCTAAAGGGCGTTACTACTCAGAAGGCGGTTCATCCAGGGCTAACATACCTTTGTTCTTACGGAGATGTTATTTTTTTTTTTCCCCCGGAGATGTTATTTTTAAGAATCTACTCTGAGAAATTAATGCACACGTCTTATTGCCCTTAATGCGTATTGCCCTCTCTTGGTATCACTCTCACTCTCCAGAGGTAACCTGGGGTCAGTGCGCGCCCCACTGTTGGTTCTTCAAGCCTGCGCTCTGTGCATTTGTACGCGCACTTAGAGCAAGTGCATTCCACCGGCTTTTCAAGAGAACCCTTCAGCATGCGGGCAGGCACGCGCCGTGGAGACGCTATCCGGTCCCCGCAGCAAATCCGGGGAGGTACCCGGAGCCCCGGGAAGGACTCTGGGTGTTAAGGTATCTCAGATCCCTCCCGCCAGTCGCCATGTGCCGATTTGAAGCTGAAACTGCAGCTCAGCGAAGTCAACTTGGACACAGCTCACGCCCAAATTAGTGTTGCACCGTTTGAGAACCTTGCCAGCACGTTTCAGACAGACCTTCCCGTTCTGACAGAACAAAATTGCCTTGAGTTTTGATGTGAGGAGAACTGTTTGGATTTGAAAATGGAAAGGGGATTATCCACACTAAAACGTGATTTTTTTTTTTTTGCAGTTGTTGTCTTGAGGGATGTGGTTTTAACTCCCTAGTCAGGATTTATTGGCCAAATGTGTTGGGATGAGCTACAGCAAGGATATAAATAAAAGGCATGTGATTTAACAGGAAGGGCTTGAGGGCTGGATGGCTGAGTTCTGAGTCTGCCTTTGTCTATAATTAGCTCAGACCTTGACAAGTCAATTAGCTCAGCTGGGCCTCAGTTTCCTCACCTACAAATAGAGGAGTTGTAGGGAGTGTGTGTGTGTGTGTGTGTGTGTGTGTGTGTGTGTGTGTGTGTTTTCAGTCTGAACTTTTGCTGAATACCCCATTCTTTTTTTGTTCATTTTTATTACTCGGTTCCAGGCATCATTGCCACAGGGAAACTTCTGGTCCTGAGAAAAGGATATCATGCTTGGAAAGGAGGAGGGTCAGCTCAAGAGGGGCAGACCCACAGCAAGATGGATTGACTCAGTGTCAGTATCAATGAGCTCAAGTGGGTCAGAGAAGATGGCACAAGATAGGGCAAGGTTCACATAGGCTGTTTACAGGGTCACTATGAGTGGACATGATAGCACCTAATAATAAGAAACCTAGACTTGCCTTCCTAACATAAATCTCACTCTATTTATTAAGGTGTTGCCTCTCCCACTGGCAAGTCAGCAGCACTGGAATATTCCGGGCTCTTGGTCAAAGACCATTGCACCAGCACAATGCCTGCCACTCCAGGGGAATCTTTGTTGATCGCCTCAGGATGGATTCTCGTTGCTCCTCCTAACAACATTTTCAAAACATCTGAGTGGAAACACCTCCTTCCCAAACCTTGGGGAGCAAACAGCTCATGACTAGGATTGTCGTTTTGACCATAGAACATGTGTGGTTGACTCTCCAGTGGATTACCAATGAGAAGAGATTGTCCATCTTTCTCCCAAGGAACAGCTAGTGGATTCAAACTATGTACCTTTGAGTTGTCAGAGCAACTCCTTAACATTAAGCCACCAGAGGTCCCTGAGTCTAGAATAAGAAGAGACAACTCTTAGCTCTACCACAGGGCTCCGGAAGGGCCAGAAAGCATCTTGCGGATGAAGCTAGATGCTTTCAGAGATGACAAGCAAAATTAGTGCTGCCCTGGTGTGTCCACTTGCTGTACTCGTGGTTGCTGTGAAGCTGAACACTGTAACACTGATGTGTCAAATGTGATAATGGTTACCCATGGTGGACAGTGTTTGGTCGAGCTCGCTGTTTAAAACAAGCTTCAAAGCAGGAGTGACATCCACTTCTATAAATAGCTTGTCTCTGGAAACCCTATGAACCTGGAGAAAGGATGAAAGTCAGGCAAGTGTCGAAGACTTTTGTTCATAGGGTCGCTATGAGTCACCTATGACTCTACGACACTTAACAACAACAACAACAACAACAACAACAACAACAACTTTAAGTACTTAAGTTAGAGCCGGCTTAGACTTTCAAGATATACACATGAGCACTCAGAATTAAATGGGGTTGTGGGGTGTGTTTAGGGTGCAAATTAGGGAACGTGCTATGCTTTTGAGTAACAACCTAGTGACATTCATAATAAAAAGCCCCAGGGAATCTTTATCTTTCTTCACTACAAAGACCCTGAATGGAACAAGAAATAAGTTAACCTTGGTCAAAACCAAGAAAACCAAATCCTTTGTTTTCTGTGGATTCCAACTCATAGCTATTGTACAGGGCAGATTAGAAGTGTCTCACGTAGCTGTACTCTTTACAGAAGGAAACTCGGTGGCCTCATCTGTAGGGAGTTGCACTGGTAACTCAAAGGTAGCTCAGCCTGTCCAGCGATTCCAATCCGCCAGCAGCTCAGTGAGAGAAAGATGAGGAATTACCTCCTAAATTGGTGGCCTAGTGGTAAGAAGATGCTGCACTGCCATCCCAAAGGCACAGAGTTGGAATCCACCAGTTGCTCCAAGGGAGAAAGATGCATAATCTCCTCCTGTGTGACTATCTGCCTCTGAAAACCCACCACAGGTTTAGCTATAGGTCAGTTCCAATTCCACAGTGCACAATAACAACAAACACATGCTGGAGGGTCAGCTATGAGTTGGTTCTGACTTGACAGCACACAACAACAACAAAACAACCTGTTGGAGGGCAACCTTTGAGTTTGTTCTGACTCCACGGTAACAAGTGAGAGTTTTCTAAAAATTTCGCGGAAGCAAATGTTCACATCTTTCTTCTGTGACGCATTTGGTGGATCCAAACTGCTGACTTTTCAGTTAACAGTTCAGCATTTCATGAGAGCAATAGTAGGGCTGGATCTTGGTATAAGATTTTTTAAAAACCACCAAAAACCAAAACCAAACTTCTAACCATTAAGGAGGAAAGTGGAAAGTGAAAACCTAATTCTGAAGTTTCGTCTGACATACTTCGGACATGTTGCAAGGTGGGACCAGTTCTTGGAGAGGGCCATCATGCTTGGGAGGCTGGAGGGACAACACAAGAAAGGAAGACCCTTGGTGAGATGAATTGACTCACTGACTGGGGCAATGGGGGTAGGTGTGTCAGAGACAGTAAGATTAGTACAGGATAGAGCAAGGTTTAGGGCAGTTGTACATACGGTCATTATGAGTCGCAGGTGACTCAACGGCACATAACAACAACAATCCAGTTCCAGACTATCTGCATTTGTCTCTACTAATATCTAGACAAGTTTACCTTGTGTCCAATGCACAGAGTTAGCAACGAAGAGTTTAAAATCTTTCTTCTTTACAGAGAAAAGCAGGAGCTGACATTTCACTCTTCCCTGGTCTAGCCCCCTTTCTTCTCTTGTATGGCAAAACATTCTCTGTCGTCACTTGGCGGATTCACTGTGATGTCACTTTGGAACCTCTCAGTTAAAGAGAAGAGCTTCAGAGGAGGGTGCTGTTTTGGACGTACCAGACTGGGCTGTGGAAGGAGATTCTTCTGAATGCACCACACCCAGCACAGGGAAAGCCAGTGCTACTGGGTGTGGAGCAATGTGTGGTTTCTGTGTATCAGAAGAGGGGTGGTGCCCAGAGGCAAATGCACTCTCCAAAGGCAGGTCCAGTGAAATGAACTGACTTCTTTACTGTTGTCAAAGCCATGCTGGAGGGGTCTGGGATCACTCTGTGTAGGGTTGACATTCAGGGCTTTTATCTCTCTGAGTTCTAGACAAACTCACATTAGGTGTCATCAACATGATGTCTTTCTGGGTGCAATCAGGTTCTAAATGCAAAAGATATCTTAAAGGAGAAGCCCACTGCTCTCAGATTGATTTTGATTTATGGCTATCTGCCCTGGGCTTTTGAGGTTGTAAACCTTTTTTTTTGTTGTTGTTGTAAACCTTTTTGAAAGGAGGTTACTCATTTTCGTCAGAGCAGCTGGTGGATTTGAACTGCTCTCCTTTTAGTTAGCAGCTCAACACATACTGCACTAGACTACCAGGACTCCTGGGGCTAAAAAAATCTTGTAGGAGGCTAATTTGAGTAGGAATAGATGCTGGGGATAAGTCTGCTTTACATAGACCAGAGAAAGTAGTTTCCTCTAGTTTGAATGCCTCCCAGAAGTATGAACTACTGCTGCTGCTGCTGCTGCTGCTACTACTACTGCTGCTGCTGCTGCTGCTGCTGCTACTACTACTACTACTACTACTACTACTACTACTACTACCACTACTACTGCTGCTGCTGCTGCTACTACTACTACTACTACTACTTTTTATTTTAGGGTGTGAAGTATGGGGGAAGAGAGAGAATATTCCAGGCAAGATAACTCCATGATAAAAGCACAGAAACTTGGGGAGAATGG